GGGAGATTGTGTCCTATATTCTGTACTATAACTTGCTTATTAAAAAATATATTTTATTTATTTATTTATTTTTATTTTTTTTTAAAAGATGACCGGTAAGGGGATCTCAACCCTTGACTTGGTGTTGTCAGCACCACGCTCACCCAGTGAGCAAACCAGCCATCCCTATGTAGGATCCGAACCCGTGGCCTTGGTGTTATCAGCACCGCACTCTACCGAGTGAGCCACGGGCCTGCCCAAAAAATATATTTTAAAATACCTTCAAGTTCCTTGGACATCTTTTAGTTCAAAAAGTCCAAGTTCCTTTAAATGGCTTCATAGTATTTCTTTGATTAATATAATTCATTTAGTCAGTCTTTGATATAGATAAGTATGGTTTGCAGTTTGAGACTTCTGTCAAAAAGGAAAAAAAAAATGCTTTCATGAAAAAATTTTTATATATCATCTTTGCATGCTTTGAATCTACCTGGAGATAAATTATTAGAGTAGAACTTACTGGGTTAAGGATAGCTGAACTTCTGATATTACCAAATTGCTCTCCAAAAAGACCATGCCAATTTATACTGTAATGGTAGGTGAAGGGTGTGTGTTTCTGTACACTTTAGCCAACACTGGTTTTCATCACACTTCTGTTTAATTAATTTTTAAAACCAGTATTGAGTCGTATCATTGCACTTTTAAATCTTTGCCAAACTGATGAGTGAAAAATGGTATCTATTGTTTTAATTTGCATTTCTCTAATAGGGTGAAGTTGAATCTTTTTAGAAACTTCCTGTTCTTGGCCCCATTGCTAAGTTTTCCATTGGGTTGCTTGCCTTTTTATTATTAATATGCACAAGCCCTTTGAATGTTAAAGCAGTTAGGTCAGGTACTGCAAATAATTTTTCCCAGCTTGTTGTTTGTCTTTTGATTTTGCTTTATAGTGTTATTTTTTCCTTGAAGAAGTTTAAAAGTTTTCTGTAGTCGCAAACTCTTTTTAAAAAAAATTTATATGGGCTCATTTTTATATTTAATCTTTGCTCCACCTGGACTGTATTTGGGGGGAGGAGTGACGAGGCATCCATCCACGGCTGTTGTAAGCTCGCTGCCCTCCCGCAGCACCCCTCTTCCTGCCCCTTACCATGCTGCCTTCTTGCTATCCCTGGTGCCACCCTCTGCTGGGCCTTTCTTATCCTCCTTCTGGATTGTATGTTACACTCCTGACTCCTGCCTGCCTCTAATCTCTTAGAGTCTTTAAATCTGCTCTCATGTGCTGCTGGGATTCTCTCTCTAAAGTGTGGATTTAATCATGCTGTTCCTCCCCATAGCTTTTAAGATAAAGTTCAAACTCCTTATTTAGAAAAGTCAAAAAGGATGGCAATAGAAAATCCAGAGTTTGAAAATCTTGTATCATAGATTACTGAAAAGTCTAACTGATTGAGAAAATTAATACTAATATCTAAAAAGGAGAGGATGTATACGTAGAAATACTCTTTAAAAAATTTAAAAATCTTAATGAATAAGTAAAAAAAAAAGATGGGGATAGAAGGGAATGCACCAATAGTTAGAAAACCTGGATACATGTAACTATTAGAAAAAGTCAAATTAATGTTGAGGGAGGGAGGGGCAGAGAAGGGACTGGACCCAGTGAATTTTATAGGCATTCTTTCCAACTTTCAAGTAACCACTAATTTCCATGTGTATAAATAATTCAAGAGCATAGAAGAACCTGGAAAGCTACACAATTAATTTGATGAAGCTGCCTATTCCTGATAACAAAGCCTGATAAAGCCAGCATTAAAAAAAAAAAAAATTATGAACTAATCTCACTTATGAGTCTAGTTGTAAAAATCCTAAATGTCAAGAAAAACCTACTCTAACAGGCTAGTAGAAGTACTGTTTTCAGCATGACCCAGGGAAGTTTATTGTTTTTTTTTTTTAATACAAGAATGGTTTAGATTGAATTTGACAGCTCCTGAATCTGAGAATGTGGTAAGCTAGATTACAGTGATCTCTCTCTTGGTGCAGCACACCCAGATATAATATTTATGTACATTTCACACATTGGAGGGAACATAAAGCAATTTTGATGAGAAACCACAGGAATTAGCCAGCACTAGAGCCAAAGTCTGGGTTCTAGCCTTCTTATCCCCATCCCAAACTGGGGGAGAAATTTACCTGTTAGTCTTGTTCTGGGAAGAACAGGAAAAAGAAAAAATAATCCATACGCATGTATTCACAAGTCGTGTGGTCAGGATTAACATTGCCTGTGTGGCCTTCAAGAAACTCAAGGCAATAATTTAGTTTAAAATGGCCCCAAGGAGGTAGCCTTCCAGGCAGCTAGCAGAAACAGGTAGACATTCTCTGATGCACTTTTATCCAGGCTTCAAAGAATTCCCACAAATGAAGTTCCAAGGAGCATGAGTTCACCAAAAGTAAAAGAAAACAAGCCACCATGAGTTGAGTCAGCTGCAACAAACAGACAAGAGGGCAGATACTGGAGTTATCAGATACAGAATATAAAACAAGTACAAGGGTACTTAAAAGTTCATAGAAAGGTAGAATTGAAAGATAATATGAATCTTTCCATTAACTTTTTGAAGTACCCTTGTATGTAAAAAAAAAATAAGAATATTGAAAGTTTAGCAAAGGAATAAGAAACCTTCAGAATTAGCCATGGCAGATTGGAAAAAGGATCAAATATAATTTTGAGAAATTTTTAAAAAATGTGATAAATGCAACCAAAGTCTAATATGCTCATTAAATAGCAGGTCAGGCACAGTTGAAAACAGTGAATGGGGAGAAGGGTCTGAAGATAGTGTACAGAATGCAACACAAAGACAGATGGAAAATATGAATGAGAATTTAAGAGACATGGAAGACTGAGAGGGTCTAATATACCCTTAATTGGAATTCCTGGAGTCAACAGGCAATGTGGTAGATGTAACATTAGAGAAGATAGTGGCTGAAAAAGTTTTCATAACACATGCAAAATGTCAGCCTTCAGTTTCAGGAAGCCTAATAAAGCCCAAATAAGACAAAGAAAATTAAATGCCCACCTAGACACAGCATAGTAAACTGCAGAGTACACATACTCAAATATAAAAATAGCCATGGAGAAGAAAAAGAATAGATCACCTAAAAGGTAACAGCATTTAGACTGATAGTTGCTTTGCAAACAGCACTGTTGAAAGGCAGAGAAGTGTCAGTGTCAAACTAGAATTCTCTTTCCAGCAAATGCCTCTAAACAAATTATTTTTCAAGAATGAGGACCAAATATATTTTTTTAAATTCAGGGAAGTTATATTTATCATGCCAAAAAGACATGATAAATTTAACACCTACTCCTTACTTAAAGAAAATTGATAAACTAGGAATAAGAAGTTTTAAGCTCTGTGAGCATGAGGAGCATGCCCACCACATAATCATATACATCGTAGACACTCGGTAAAAATCTGCGTGAATGACCCTCCTGGCAGCAGAGCAGCTATCGGAAGCAGGCAGGCATCGTGGGTGGTAGTAAAAGATCACAGGCATTCCTGTTGAAGTGTGGAGCAAAACATGGAAGCCCAGTATTACCACTGTTATCTAACATTGTACTTGAAATTCTACTCAAGAAATGATGACTATGAGAAGACGTTACTCACTTTTTAAACCAACGGCATCTCCTACTTGTATAACAAATCAATCACCTGAAAAACCAGCAGAAGTAAAGTATGCATAAATTTGACCCGTAAGAAATATGACATAGCTCTTTCTAGGAGCATGAAAACCATCCTTTCTCAGGTTTCTGTTCAAAATAAAATAATATATTCCTTCAACGTTGTGTACCTATTGTGGACGCAGGGAAGAATTAGGGTGGCTACTGTCTTCAGGGAGCTGTCTGTGGAGTGGTTCACAGGGTAGTGCACCTGTTACTGACTTGAGGCTATAATGGGTATAAAGGAGCAAGTTGTCAGCTCTGAGAAGCAAAGTGGGGGGAAGAGCCATAAAATGCCTCATAGGGGAGGTGGTAAATTGAGTATAATTCATGAAAAAAAGGCCAAATTTTAAAGAAAAGGTCCTCAGCTTGAATGATCATCCTCCAATGGCTAAGTCATGTGGCTGTCTTTACATTTCATGAATAGAATGAAAGATGTTGAAAGGGGAAAATCTATCACTTGACAGACTGTTCAAAGTGAAGATCAGGAAGCTTTTATTTTGGGGGATTTAATCATACTGACTACTTACATAAACCTGTCTTATAAAGAGACGTCGGAAGAAGTCTAATCAGTTCTAATCTGATTAGCCTAATAGGTTTAGTAGGTGTAATAGTTAGTTGACCATTGTGTGCTATTAATTAACAAATAGTCTTTTTATTTTTAACTTGAACTTTAAGCTCTGATAAAACAATATGGTTAATTAGAACACTTGAGATTTGCCGTAAAATTGATGACTTAGGAGCTTTAAAGTTTTGTTCCTCATCTCTGGTTTTCCTAAGTGAGCGTTACTCTTGGAGACTTATTAGTTCTGTCTCTCTTTGGGCACATAAGGAAGCACTGTTCTGTGTAGTGGTGGGTGGTCTCCTTTAGACCACATTTCCCTGTGGTGTCTGTACCTTTCTATCTCCTTCCCGTAAGCATCACCCCTTCCTGCACCCCACTATTGCTTCAACAAAGTCCTTTTGTCTTCTAAGGAAGCCTTACCAATTTCACTTCAAACAATTTATGATTAAAACAATTTTTTTTTCTTCTAGGATTGTAGAAATCTATAGTAGAAGACTACAAGGTAAACCTTTAAAATGTTTATTTTATTTACAGAAAACATTTTTTCATATGAAAAAGTATTTTTGTTCTATTACAAGTATAATAAATATGACTTATAAAAATTAAAACCTCATAGGAATATAAAAAAGAAAGTCAACTGCATTTCAAGACCTCAGAAGAAATCATTGTTGTATTTCACACATTCCGTCACATTTTTATGCATATACTATTTTTTTCAAATAAGTTATTTTGTGTTTATTTACACAAAAATAGGCTCATATTATATGTAATTGGCCCACTTTCTTTTTTTCTTTTTTGTTCACTTAACAAATCTTAAATGTAAATCCTAAAGCATAGATGTAACTATCTCATTCATTTTGGTGGCTGTTTAGAATTCTATTTTATGTGGCGTGGCTTCATTTAACCAGTCCCTGCTCTCACAGACATTTGGGGACTTTGCCAGTTTTCAAATAAATGCAATGCTGCAGTGATCACTCTTGTGTGTATTTAAAGATGAGTTGTTGGGCCGGCCCGGTGGCACACTGCTACAGTG